GTTGTCCGTGAATTCTATGCCAATGTAAAAGAACATGTGAATGGCGTAATAACAGTGCTCAGGAAGGTCGTGGATGCCTTTGTTGAGGCTATTCGGAGGATATACCAGCTGCCCACATCGGTGGATGAGTATGAGGACTATTATGAATTGTATGGCAGAAAATACACACAGTGGGAGAGGTTCTTTGAAACCATTTGTGTCCCCAGCAAGGAAATTGTATGGATGAATGATGAGAAGAAGTTTCACTCCACGACGCTCACCTTTGAAGGGAAGTGCTGGTTTTATGTCATCAACAACCGCCTGATCCTGTCTTCCAACATCACGGAAATGCTCCTCGAGCTGCTCTAATTTGGTGCTTTATGAATGGTCACAACTTTGACGTGGCCAAGCTGATTCACGAGGAGATGTTTACACGATGTCCGGTGAAGAGGTATGGGTTCTTATTCCCTTCCTTAGTCACTAGGCTTTGCCGGGCAGCTCGGGTGCTGAAAAATCTGAATGTGAATGGGATAGTGCCAAGAGACTCCAAGTTCTGAGCTGATAAGGTAACTACTGGGAAGGATCTTGTGGCGGATGGTGGTGGTAATAGTGTTGAATCCGATGATTCTAAGGAAGGGGAGGATGAGCAAGAGGAAGTAAGGGCCGAGTCCGGCCCATGAGCAGATTGTAGAGGCTGCAGATCCATTTGGGGCTGCTCGGGTTACCCGGTTCACAGCCTAGAGTAGGAGGTGGCAGGATTGCGTACCACGGTCCCTGACTTAGGTACACGGGTTGATGTGGTGGCTGCCCAGCAGGTGAAATCGGAGAAGAAAAAATTGGGTTGGCTGAGAGCTCTGGGTCGTGCATGCAATCTGAACCCGGAGACGGTTTCAGATCAAGAGTGATCAATCAGGGAAATTCCTTTACCTCATTGTTCATTATTTTGTATGCCATGAGGACATGTCTTCCTTTTAAGTGTGGGGTGGGGGATACTTCAATGTATGTGTATATATGTATGAACTTGACTGTTTTATGTTTTCTTTGTTTTTCTTGATCGTTTTGTGGTTTTGAGTAGCAGTCAAATTAGGTAAGTCGACTTGTCCCGACGACGGATCTCTTTCGACGGGGTTCTTGAGGGACTAAGTCGACGTGAAAATTTGGAAAAAAAATAGAAATATGTTGGACTCTTCCTGATGAAGGATCTTCTAGACAGTTTTTTGAGGAAAGTAAGTCTAAAGAAAATATTAAAAAGTTTTTTTGTTTGTTTTATGTAGTGTAGTAACTCCCCCTTGGTTTTTCTTTGGGCCACGGTTCTTTTCCAAGGATTTTGCTTGAACTGGGTATAGTTAGTTTTTTTTTGTTTATGATGTTTCTAGTTCTTTGTTGGTACTTATGGGCGATGAGGTGAAGTAGGAAGAGAAGCCCTTAGCGTTGAAACACCTAAACACAGTAGGCACTAGAGTGTGACACTTAGTCTCAGTGGTTGATTCTTGTTAGAGTGCCTTAAATTGTATGTTTGTAACTGACTTGAGTACTCAAACGAGAGTGTCTTGATAAGACAATCTGGAGTGAGTCATGTGCCATGTGTGTGTGAGTTGTATTGCACTCTATGCTCTGCATTTGATGCCTAGAACTTGCCCCGTGTGTTTGCAAAGCGAAAAAGTAGCTTTATTCAGTCTTAGAAGTGATATAGGCATGTCTTTGCTAAGCCAGATATATAAAGTAGACCCCACCTAAATGTGATACATCATAGTTAACCCCGTTGAGCCTATAAGCATGTTTCTTTGGCAACCACATTACAAACCTTACCCAATTGTTTGAACGACCCATCTATTTGAACACATTTACCTCTCATAAGCACTTGAATGGTTATGAAATATGCAAAAGTTAAAGTGTGGGTGGTGGTTTGGTTTTTGAGTGGAACAAATGAAATAGAAAAAAATGTGCAGTATTTTGAAAAATAAAAGAATAAGATCCACTTAAAAGAGAAAAAAAAAAGAGAAAAGAAAATAAGTAAATGTAGTCCTTGATAAATGGTGACTTGATACAACTGCACCTAATGGAGTTTGAGGTATTATAGATAGAGTGTGGTGGAATATCTGGTCAGACATAAGTATGGTTTTGAATGCAAATGTGAGTGTATTAAAAGTGCTCAGGGAGGTTAGTCACTATATCCAAATATATCCTACCCTTCCCTTAGCCTACATTACAACCAAATGAAATCCTAATTGATCTTAGACTGAATGGGCTCGATTAGTAGAGTAGTACACTACGAGTAAGCATATGGTGCATCTGTGTGGCCTGTGAATTTTCTTTGTGAGAGTGAGTGAATTTTCTTTATCTAAGTTCCTAATTATTCTTAATATTATTATTTGTGGAACAACTCTCTTGTGTGATGTGAGGGCATGTGATTCACGAAGGAAATGTAAGTCTTGACCTCTGTATAGAGTAATTTGAGTAAGTATGAATATTGCACGGCACGCCAGAGTCGACTCTTGAGCCAAAGATGGTACACTACTAGACGTAACTTTGGTGATTTGTTCTTGGTGTGATAAGATAGGGAAAAGCTTAATGAAGGAACCTTTATAGAGTATGGTGGATTTCTCGGGGAGTAGCAATGATTTAAGTGTGGGGTGTTGATAATAGGCTAGATTCGTGTAGTTTAGCGACTATTTATGCCCCAACTTGACTATGCTTCACCAATTTAGGATAGTTAAATGACGATAAATTGGCTCTAATTGTGAATTTCATATTTTGCAGGAGCAAGTTGTGCTTATGAAGACTTAAGATAGTGTTTGGAGCTAAATTAAAGCAAGGGAAGCCCCTCGGAGCAGAGTACGTATGAAAGAAGGAAGGAAAGAAAAGATAAAATGCTGAACCACTCTAGCGCGGGCCTAGCGCGGCCTTAGCGCGACCGAGCTAGAGCAGAAAAACGAGGCAGAACACTCAGCAATATGCGCGGCCACTAGCGCGGTTCGAGCGCGGCCGCGCTAGTTAAATCCAGAGCGTAGAAGTTCAGGGGTAAACTTGGAAGTTTGGGGGTAATTCCACTTAATCTATAAGAGGTCCAGCTCGCCCAAAAAGACATTATCAAGGTTTTTACAATTTAGTTGAAGGCAAATAGAGGCAAGAGGCAAAGACGATAATTCGACATCGAGTTCTACCTTTCTTCCTTTTGTATTTATCATTCATGATGAATTTTGTTGTTGTTATGATGAATGCGATTATGAGTAGCTAATTATTTAGTCTAGGGTTTTGATGGAACCTGTTGAGGATGAACTTCTTGTTGTGTTAATATAGTTTGCCAAGTTTAATCTCTATTTGTTCTACTACGTTCTTGTTGTAGTTAATTAATAGGATCCTCAATTAGCTGTGTCTATTTAGTATGTATTACTCGGGAGAGAGTGCATATTTAGGTAATTGTTGAACAAAATCACTCCCAAAGTATATGAGGAATCAATAACCGAGGGTTTAAAGGTGGGATTAGGGATAACGAAACCTTGGGTGCGATCTAAAGTGAGCTGTAATAAAAGCCAGCTAGCGTAACTCGGAAGAGTGCGTCTAGTAAATTGTCGTAATTACTCGGGAGAGATTTACGGTAGTAAAAGTGCTCATGATCGATAGAGACGATTAGACAAATCTATGCGAAACATAACAAGAAGGAATTCCGTCAATAGGGGAAATCATAACCTTAGATCCTTCTCTTATTTGTTTACAACTCAGTCATAGTTAGCTTTTAGTTTACTTAACTTCATTCAGTTATAGTTAGTAAAAATATCACCAATTGTTATTCAAAATATCTTGGGAAGTTGATTACGAAGAATTCAGTGAGTCTGACAAAAGTAATTGGTAGGTTAATTCCCTGTGAGATTCGACTCTAGGCTAAATACTCGAATTATATTTGCAACGACCGCTTGTCCTTTTTATAAGGCATAGTTGGGCGTGATCTATCGTTTTATGAATATAATGTTTGGATAGATTGTATTGTTTGTTATTGTTAAATACGTAATATTTTGCTGTTTGGTTTGACTGTATTGTACTGTACTGTAACTGATAAGTTTACTAAAATACCCTCAATTGTTTAAATATTAAATTTATCAAAAAATATGCATAACAATAATTTTAAGAAACAAAACAGAAAAAGACAAAACACCTTAAGAAAGCAGAACAAAGGAATGAGACAGAAGAAGCCAAAACAAAGGAGCACAACTAATTAGAATTGAGTTAAAAACAAACTAGGAGAAGAAAAAAAAAACAGAAGGCGGCAAAACACCTTTAGCATTGGCGGCAGAAGTTCTGGAAAAAAAATAAAGTAAGTTACAGATTGGAGATTTGGAGTTAAAAGAGCAAAAAAAAAGTTAAAGGATAAAATAGAATTGTAGAGTAATAAGTTATGGCATAATTGAAAAGAAAGTAGGAAACACTCCCACCAACCAAATCGGTTATTTCAAAAAAAGGGATTATTCATTGTTCTGGAACAATGGATTTAACAATACAATATAACCAATTTTAGTGAAACAATCAAAATAAATATTGTTTTGGAATAACGATACAACGGGAAACTACCATCCAAACAAGCTGTAAACGTATATCGCCCTCGGAAAGTCACATTCTAGCTTTCCCCAAAAGGAATCTCCCAGTAAAGAGAGAACTTAGAAGTTTATTGTTGCATTTCCATGGTAATTCAAGTTTTGACTTGAGAATATCTATCATATTAAACATACAACTATGACTGCAATAAGATGAATAAGCAAATTCATGAAATAAAAAGGTTTTGCTATGAACGTCGTAAGGATTCCTCCCATCTGCCTTTCAATGCTAACATTTTTGTACTACCTATATTTTTACTTTTTCTTGTGAGTTCATAAAGAAAAATAAGAATCAAATAGTTCCATAGAGATTCTTTTGGTTCGATTATAGCAGCAAAGGGGTTATAAAGGAGTATGCAAGGCATGCATGATGTAGTTGTAGCATCATTCTATAGAACCATATATAGAAGGGAAGCAAATTCACTCTTGTCGGAAAGAGAAAGGCATATGTAACGCGAAATCTACAGTATATACTTCTCACACAGATGGTAATGTTGCAGCAGTAAGTTGAAAGGGAAAAAGGTAAAAGGAAATGTTTAGAAAACTTGGGACAAAAGAGAAAATGAAACCTGAAATCCAATGCCTTATTAAACAACCCCAACTAGAGGAGGCCCGAGGCCGTTAAAGTTACAGCAACAGCAACCTCAACTTCATTTTTATTGTCAGCTTAACTACACTGTATAGATAGATGTGTTTACACTTTGGCAGAAGTGTTGGGAACAGCAGCAGCATCCTTGAGCATGGGAAGTAGCTTTCCCTGTTGATGCTTCTCTACTATGCCTGCAGAATAAGAAATAAATGTCAAAGCTCCGGGTAAGTTTTAGACGGAAGGAAGAGATGGTGATAAAAGAGGACAAGTTGATGATTCTTACTGTCACAGCCACCAACATGTTTTCCCCCAATAAACACGTTTGGTACAGTCCTCTGCCCGGTCCATTCAAGTAGTGCTTGTTGCACCTCATTTCCATCACCTTCAGATAAACAAAATTCACCAAAGAAATTCTCATCGACTATAATGCGCAACTATAGGGTTCAGGAACTCTTTGAGTAAACACACATTTTGGCAAAGCTAAACTAAGCCAACAAGTTCAAGGTATCCATTAGAAGACCCAATCTCCCAAACATGTTCTAGCCAGTGCTTCTAACATACTTCAAATCCAAATTTAAATTCATAAGGCGCTAGATGGCAATGCTGAATGCTTATAAGCAGGAAGATTATAAACAAACTGCTAACATTGTGCACTGGAGCCATGCCTCCAGTGTCCCACACCAAACACTTATACGAAATTTCAACTAGGATACGGTAATAATCCGTGTTTTGCTTAAAATGATCATGGGGCCAGAAAGTTCCTTTCAATGGGTACAAAATACTTTCCATTTAAAAGAAGTATCATGGTAACCAACAAAACATTTATAAAAATCATTTGTAATTCTTAAACCTCTAGCATTTAAGAGTGCTGAAAATTGAATACTTAATTCATTCTAAGACATCGACAATCAGACCATTACAACTAAATACATAACACTCTTTTTTGCCTAATCTACTCTATCTTCGAGCCTTGGTGCTTATAATATTTTAGGAACAACATTCCTTTGCAAAAGGAGGTCGAATACCTCTTTGGTTCTCTTAAGAAACTCTAGGGGTTAATTCCTAATACACCCATAGAGAAGACATCCAAATCTTCTTAAACATTTCCTTTTTCAATTAACTTAGAGATAGAACAGTTGAATTACTATAGAAATTGAAAAAGGAATGAAAACAAGACAGTGGAAGTGAAAGGAATCTTGTCACGAGATTTCTATGCTTTTCTTAATTGCTGTTGAAAGATAGGATGTTGGGTGACAAAAGGATCATATATAAGATGTTTACTAGAGAAGTGACTACTGACTAGGGCTGTGCATAATTTGGTAAATACCGAATTACCGTACCGAAATCGAAAATTTTGATATTTGATATTCGGTATTTTGGTATGGTATTTAGTTTAAGTTTTAAAAAAAAATTGGTATTAGGTATGGTATTTGGATTTTAAAATAAAATACCAAAATACCGATACCGTACCGAAATATATATTATATTACACAACACATATTATCAATTATAACATAAATATAAAAATCTAAAATTTTCCTTTCCTTTATTCTCTAAGTTCATCAATTAACCCTAAACAAGTGACAAGACATTTTTATTGATCAAATTTATGCTTTTATGTACAGTTTTCTCTCTATGGGTCGGATATTTGCTGGTTTTGGACAAAACTTTTGTCAATAAACATCTTCAGTTTTATATTTTTGAGTACTTTAATTAAGAATATTAGAGTCTATGGCTCTATGCACTAGTTAGTATTCAAACCGAATAAACCGAAGTTACCGAACCGAATAAACCGAAACCGAAAGGAGAAAAACCGAACCATACCGAATTTAATTAGGTAAGGTATTGGTATAGGATTTTAAGATTCTGAATACCGGAAATACCGAACTGAAGTGTCTAAATACCGTATCATACCGACCGACGAACAACCCTAGAAGTGACACAAGGAATCACAAAAGAAGAAGAAAGAGGAAATCTAAAACACTACCACCCCACCCCACCCCTGCTCCTCTTCTCCCCTCAACCCTT